GGACATATAAATTGAAACAAATGACATTTAGTGTTAGTTTTAGTCCTGGGATACTTCAAAGTGGTTTCACTGATCCGTGGTGGATTATGAAGTACAGAATTAGTAATGAGTGTTTGAGCAGGTCTGGGGCTCAGTGATGAGACACAGAGGGAAAATTCAGCAAAGCGAAACCTGTAATGATGAATTTAAGGAAGAGAACTCAGCTTAAACTGACAAGTTCAAGGCATGGAGCTTAAACACTCATTCCATGAATGTCAGGATCCACGAGGCTTGCTCTGCTCCATTGGGATTAGGAACAGAACTGATAAACTCTGTTGGACTCTGCTGCACATTTGGGACAAATGCTTCTGCAGGGAAGTGCTGGGAGAAAAACTTGTTATTGTGGGAGGGCACTTGAGGTGTTCACGTGACAAAGCTTCACCTGTCTGTTACTGGTGATGCTCCTCATGGACACCACGTGTGATCCCTTAAGCAATATTTTGAATGTAGCAAGGCTCTTATGCAAGGAACCTCCAACTATAGATTTTATCCCTGCATGGGGGATGTGTGTGCATGGAAACTCTGCTCAGAGCTGCTTCAAAATGTGTGGGAATAGATAGGTAACACTCGACCTGCAAAGACAGCAAGGTCATAGGGTGTATACATGGAAAAAGACTTAGAAAATGTGTAAATATATGCTGATAGTATGAGTGTCTTCCTTAATGGCTTGATAGCATTTGGAATCATAATTCCAGTTTTGAACCAAGGACAGCTTTTTTAAACTGCATTCAGGATTTTCAAGGATTACATTGGTTTATGGGAAAAAAAACCCCAAACCCTTTACATATATATTTTAATTCCAAAGAGAAATAATTTTCATTGTTTTCTTTTAAAAATAAAGATAAGCTTTCTGTATGCTTCCCCTGTAATCTGGATTGCCAGGGCACAGAACAGGCAAAAAGAATGAAATTTAGTCATCTCTAACAAAAATGCTTCAAGTTGGCCAGACAATTGCTACTGGTATCTCAGAAAATTGACACCTTCCAGAGCATAGATAAAACTGTCTCTGCTTACATGTAAATTTAGCAAGACTATGTCAAGAGTGAGATGTCAAGATGAGGAACAGAAATGTCTTGTGGTGGGTGAATCACTCCTCAACCATGGGGACTGACACTTGCAGCAGAAACCATGCCAGGTGGGATGTATTAGAGAAATCACTGATTGTTTCTGAACCCAAGCATCTGTGTGCCTCCAGAGAAGCACTGCTGTGAGCACCAGCAGCTGAGAAGCCTGGGAGTTGTGTTTAATGGCTGAGTGATTCACCTGAATCTGTGCAAGGTCTGAGCCCTGTTCTTAAAGAGCTGACATCAGAAAAAGAAGTTATGAATGCTTTACTTCAGAGTTTATTCCTCCTTACACACTGGAGGATCTATTCCTAGTTTCTCCTGGTGTGAATCCTCTGTTAGCTAATGAGGCATAAAAATGATCAAAGCTTTCCCTGTAGTTTGAGGAGTCAGAGCATCTTTGTCTCCTTTGTAGAGTCTGAGTTTAAATGCACCCTGAATAGATGGTGCCCTTTGACTCAGTCAAGATGACTCTTTTTTCTCTGCAGAAACCTGTTCTTTGAAAATCTGTGGTTATAGAACAAACATTTGGTTAAGATAATAAAGTACTCATTGAAATTGGCCAGCTGCAAGAGCAGGTTGATGTGCACTTGTCTGATGTCTTCTGTCTTCATGTTTCTGGAAGGACTAGAAAGCACATCACGGACTTACTGATCTTCCTGAGTGAGGAAATTCCAATATTCCTAATATTCCTTGATTTATCCCATCTTAAAGCAACTCAGCTCAAACTTTTCATTCTTCATTCTCTCCCACTTCCAGAAGAATACACAATAAGATTTCTCAGGAATTTGCTATATGAATTCTACAATCTGAAAAATAAGTTGCAAATGGATTTTTATACAATAAATCCCACACTAGGAGTTACTTTAATGAGCCGTTTTCCATCTCTGGAAGGGATGAGAATGAATGATCAGAAACAGTGGTGGTTTAATTTGTAGAGGTTTATAGTTCATAAGCACTGTCTCATCCTAACAGCATTTGTTTCTTCCTTTACTTGCTTTGCATTTTGTGGGTTTAAGATAAAAATTGATAGACTAAATCTCAGCTCTCATGAAAGTTTCAAAAGGGATGTTTACTAAAAAGTGTTCATGCTTTCTTAACTTTTGCCCTTTTTGTTGCTGTTTGGGGGTTATTGTTTTTATTTGTTTTGTTTTGGATTTTTTTTTTAGTAAATGAGAGAAGTAACTACTTCTTTTTGGAGGAATGCTGAAGTGGATCAATGAGACTGACGTTCTGAGAGTCTCTATCCCTTTCCCACTTTGGGATTGCTGTAAATGCCTGATCAAATTCTATCTGCTGCTCTGTTTCCCGTGTGTGTTTAGAACCACAGGATAACCAATGAGGCTTCTCACATCACTGTGTTTCTTTATCCCCTTTTAGAAGTATTGTGTTTTTTATCTGGTGAGTCTGTGAGAGTTTGACATTGGATGACTTTATAAAACATTCAACTAATTGGATTTGTTAAAATAAATAAATCAAACACTAATTGGAATGTGCCCTGCCATTATTTTTGCTTACTGAATTAGATATTATGGCGTGAAGTTCTTTTTATCATATTTGTGCACTTATTTAAACACCCCCCTGGCGCACACTTCTGCAAATTCAATTATATATTCAAAGGAGCCATTCAATTTATGCAAGGCTGGTTTACATATAATCCAGGGGCAAGTCTCAGTAACTGATGATAGGTCTGCTCAAGATTAATTAGCATCACTCAGATGAGCAGTGGCATTGTTACAAGCCCGCAGTGTAAAACAAGGGATATTTTATCCTTCTTATGTGAGCCATTATTTGCTTCAGTATGACCCTTTTCAGGAAGGGAAAAGCTTTCTTGTTTAGATTTCATTTTGTGAAAAGGGTTTAACACTACCTGCGTTATCCAACGCCATCAAAGCCATCTCCATTCCCTTGTCAGTTCCACTGAGCAACTGCTCAATTTGTTTAATTTTTAGCCAAGCAGGAAAAAGGCTCCAAACATCCCAGTATCTTTTCCAAAAATCCTCATTCTTGCTAACAATTTATGAAGACCCAGCACCCCATTTTGGTGATTGTGTAAATGTTGTCATTTTCCTCAAGCTACTCTGTGATATGTGATTGAAATGATAACTTGCAGACCTGGTAACTAAATTCATTCAGTGGTCAGTCTTCCTTTCCCTTCAACTTGAGGATTATTTTTTTCAAGGTTAATAAATAGCTCTCAGAAAGCAGTCGGATTTCATCTATGGATGACTTTCTTTGGGGATGGATCTAACCTCTTCCTGTCTTTATGTTCCATCATATTTGGGTGTAGCTCATATAAAAGTATCTGCATAGGTGGGGTGTCTTTGGAAATATTGATTAAGCTTATGCTGACATCAGTGAAAACAACACTTCTGCTTGTTACTATTCCCACTTTAGTGAACTCCAAAAGTCTCTTCAATTTTCTGAACCTGGCTGCCAGGAAGGGAAGCTGCAATGTCACATCTGCCAACTCCTGCAGAAAGCAGGGCCACCACTGATGTCCTTGCTTGGCAAATATGAACACACGTCATTGTGGCTATATGGATTTATCAAGGATTAGATATAAAGAAAGAATTTTTTTACTGTGAGGGTGAGGCCCTGGCACAGGGTGCCCAGAGCAGCTGTTTGTGCTCTTGGGGCTGAGATTTGGATCATTTGTCCTTGGTCCCCAGCTAGAGCAGGAATTGTTTTGTCTCCATGTCTGTGAAGAGAGCTCACCATCCCCTGATATGAAGCTCAGAAGTACACACTAAAGTAGAATAGAATCTGAAAAATATAAAAGCTAAAACCTGAAGCATCATCAGGAAGCATTGGTGCTTGGCTGGCAGAGCAAGGGAGCGTTGTCCTGAGCACTGCGCAGCCCTGGCGTGTTACGTGTTCCCAGGTCCTTTGGAGTACTGGGATCTGCAGAGAACAGTGATCCTTTCTTCCTTAAGAGAAAACCAAATCTTTATAGCCACACCTTGGGCATGATTCAAGTCTAAACTGAGCTACCCAGATCCCTGATCCAGTGGATCCAGTAGTGAAATACTTTGGCAGGCTGGGTTGGGTGGAGGTGAAGAGTGCATGAGATCATAAGGGACACTAGAGTAGGAACATCCTAGGGAATAAACAACCTCTGTTCTGTGTGACCCAAGTTTCAAAGATCTGCACTGAATACAGCATTTCATTCCACAGTTCCTGGATTTCCTTTGATTCACAGGTGTTCAGGCATCTGCCAATGCATTTCTGAGAGTTAACTTCTTCCAAGTATTTCAGGAATTGCAGTAAAGATCTTTCAGTCAGCAGTCTGGAAGGTGTGGATGCCAGTTGACACCTGCTGCTTCTCATTCTCTTGTTCAGAAAATACAGGGGCATGCTTAAAAGTATTGATTTGAAAGACTTGGAGGAAGCTCTGTGTGTTCATGGACTACACAGAAATTTGTGTTGTTAAGTTTAGGAGGTGGTTAAAGCCAGGTTAAATAAGGCTTAAAAAGCAACAAGAAGTGAGGTCTTGTTGTAGGAACAGTGATGCTGTGCTTATTTCTCATTTGCATTCTCCTTTCCTTTCCTGATTTAAAAAAAAAAAATCTTGGCGGTTCATGCAAATATTCCTGCATGGGGTATCCTGCAGAATTGTCCTTGAAAATAACAGGTTGAAATAAAGGGGATTGATCTTAGAAACAGTAGTGTGGAGGGAAGAAAACAAGGGCTTCCAGTGAATATAAAACATGGAAAGTACAAAGATATTTTTTGGACATAACCTTTGGAGCTGCAGGAAAAACAATGTTCAGGAAATTAGTTTTATTTATTTTTATTTCCTGTGTAAGCTTGGGTACAAAATATCTAAGTAAATGGCCTACCACAAAGAGAGAGAGAAAATTAACCCAGAAATGTTTTCATTTTTCTTGGTTGTAGGTGGTTGTTCATTTGATGAGCACTACAGTAACTGTGGTTATAGCGTCGCCTTGGGAACCAATGGATTTACCTGGGAGCAGATCAACACCTGGGAAAAGCCAACAATGGATCCTGCTGTCCCAACTGGTGAGTGTGGAGCCTCATCAACAGTGATGAGATGCAATTCTTGGAGAGAATCAGATGTTATTGCTGTGTATGTGTGTGCTGGCTCTGGGTACACACAGGAGCAGAGCAGGATTTTACTCTGCAATAAAATGTTAATTTTGTGTTCAAAATACTCTGGCAACGGAATTCATAGATGTGAGGTGGCTTTTTGCAATATTTGCCATTGGATATCCTTGAAGAATTGTTTCACATTTCTTATTCTTATTTTGTTTCTCATTTAGCAGAGAGGAAATGTTTTGGATATGATACTCTAAGGTTCGGCCAGCTTTTGGCATGTTTCTGGATGAGAGAGTTATCTGGGGAGGTTCATGTTGGACAGGCCAGAAGTAAAGTCTTAAAATGTGGAAATATTGGACATTGCAGTTACCATTTAGCTCTGAAGTGATGGTTTTAAATTCCAATATTGAGAAAGACAAGAAAGTTTTTAGAGAATTAGTTGTGGTAGCTAATGCTTAATTAGGCTGGAACTTGAGACAGGAGAATTTTCATATGCAAGAAAAACATTTCCAGCGGTGAGAGTTACCAGAGTTTCTAATTTACCAATATGTACTGAGTATAGTGTAGATTTGCATGTGATAGTTGGAATATTCTTAGCAGAGCTCACAGTGGTGATAATTTCCAAGTTTTGTTTTCCATTGGAAGTTACCGTTATGCTTTATATGGGAATGAATTCTCTAGCCTTAAATTGCTGTGAAATGCTTTGTTTACATTGAAAAAGAACTTGACTTAAGAAAACACTTTAAAGTTCATTGAAAATCCTACTTTGTCCATGTTGGTTGCCACCTAAAATAGCAATACAAGTCTCTTTAAGGCACACAGTGGCAAAAAGACTTCATCAGCCAGTGAAGACTTTGATTTCACTCCTAAAAAAAGAAATATTCATTCTGGCTAGTGCATTGCACTGTGAGAGCACGAGCTACATGGAAGAACAAAATATAATGTTGTTTAAGACTTATTCTTATGACTGTAATTATTGGGATAAGAGACTTGTAATTGCTGCCTGCCTGGAAGGACACAGTGTAGAGCTGAGACAGCAATAGCTCCCTGCCACAGCCACTGACAGACAGCCCAGACCCCGTTCCTGGGTGCTTGTCAGTAAAAAACAGCTCAGGAGACACCAGCCTGGCTGGGCTTCCTCCAGCACTGAAAGCTGTTTAAGTTCTGTGCGTTTTAAATAACTTTATAACTGGAAATTGTTCAGAATAGGAGCCTTCAGAGTGTGTCACACCTGGTACTACTTGGTTTGGCTGTGGCATCCCCAAAGGAGTTAATTGTGGAAGTTGCAGATTTTTGGTCCTGCCTGTAAGAGTGTATTTCTTGATTCTGAATGCTGTTGTGTTTTAAATGATGGCAATTTCATCGCTGGGGCTCCTCAGCTTTTGGTTCAGTGTTGTGTCCTTATTTTGTGTCCTTGGTAAAGACCAAGCTGGAGAGACATGGCAAATCTTTGAGTTAGCTGATCCCAGAGAGAAGGAGTAGGAATTTACACAGTTTTGATGCATTTGAGAATCTGGAACAAATGGGAAGGTTTATGTGACTTCCACTGGATGAGTTCAATGCTTTGTTAACTCCAATGTTAAAGTAAACCCTTCCTGGCCTCCTTATGGAGGTATATTGTCATCTGAAATACCCTGGAACCATGGAGGGGTCAGCAGAAATCACAGAGCTGGAAAAGATCTCCGAGGTTATTGATTCCAGCCATTATCCCATCCCCAAACCATGCTCCCACACCTCTGTGTTTTGTGACCACATGTGCCACAACTCATTTTATGAATGCTTCCAGGGATGGTGACTCCATCACTTCCCTGGGCAGCTGTTCCAGTGCATAACAACCCTTTCAACAAAGAAATTTTTCCTAATATCCAATCTAAACAACAATAGACAAGCAGCAGCCTGGAATGGCACGATTTTAAAAAATCCCAAAGCAACAAACCTACCCAAAAAACCCCAACCCCAAACAAACCACTCCATATACACAAAAAAAACCCCCATGCCAACCCCAGGGCATCACAGTGTAGTTTATTAAATACTTGTGGTTTCCCCCTTTCCTTGATATCTGGTATAATGTAAAAAGATATCTAGAGATACTCCAGCAGCTGCAAATTTAATATAGTTTAGACCTGAAACAAAAAATGCAGAAAACTTCATTGAAGTTAAAAGGCAAAGGTAAAGCAGCCATCAGGTGGGAATGTGCTGATAAAGAAATACTGTGTAAGAAGGTTTGAAGGAGCATGAGGGGAATTGAGTCAGTTCCTGATGTGACTGCTTGATGTCACAGGACTGTTCACACTGAATAAAGAGCAAAATCCTTTGGTGGAAGATCATGGACCACAGCAAATGTGTGCAGAAGGGCCTGGTGAAACAAACCCCATGTTTTCAGGAGCTGTCCAAGTCATGCTAACCTTGGTTTTCAATCATGCTAACAGTTTTCAATCAGATCACCAGAAAGTTGGTGAGATTTTTGGAGTTATTATTGTGAGTCTGTTGCTGGCTAGAATTGTGATGTTTGTGTTGGTTACTCTTTAAAAAGCTGTTTGGTGGGAATAAAAGTTGTTTACTTAATATTCATGTAGAGGCAAAGCCAGGTGGATAAACTGAAGAACAGCATGTTCCACTCCTACAAGCAGGGACATCTTTAAAGCTGGAGTCCTAGAACATGTGATGATTGACTTTTCATTCCACTGAATTCCTCCACAGCAACTGAGAGAAGCAGGGTGTAAATTCACTGAGCTGCAGGGTGTAAGAGGTGGTAACAAAGAGGTGTTCATGGAATAAGCACCCAGAGGCACGACAGAGCACAGGGAGTGGTGGCAGGAGTGCCAGCAGGGCTCTGGGATGCAGTAATGCAAATTTTTATGTTGAGACCGTATTTTAAACCCTGCCTTACTTTTATAGCTGGAAATAGGTTAAAATTCTACATTGTGGAAGTGGTGAAAACAAAAAGTGAGCAGGAATTAGGTTGGTTCAGTGACACTGAGTCAGCCTGCAGTGCTGGAAGCATGGCCAACCCCCAGCTGCTCAGCCCTTTCCTCTGGAAAACGTTTCGGCTTTCCTAAGTACCAGCAGATTCCTTTGAATTCAACCAAGCCACAGAACTGTGTCCTCCTGAATACTAATGATGCTGTCTAGCATTTTTTAAAGTCCTTTTCACTGCTAGATCTCAGAGTGCTCTTCAAAGGAGGTCAGTACCATGAATGAGAGCCCGAGTCCCCAGAGCTGTGTAACTCTCTGCTGACACACTGCTGCAAAGGTCTCTGCCCAGGGATGTCTTTCTGGTCTTTATTTTTTTAATTAAAATGTCAAAAAGAAAAAAAAAAAACCAATTAAACTGCTCCATTAGCAATGTAGAAGTTTGTAGGCAATTTGTTTTACTCCGTTGCCAGCAAATAAACTGTTTCCCATGAATTCTGTGATTAATTCCTTAGGGCTGGAAACAGTGTTAATTGGGGGATTAAGAACCAGATGTTTGTTGTTCTGAATAAATGTTTCAAAAATGTGGAACACACGAATCGTAGGTATCCCACCCCCAGATTTCAGTGGGACTTTGGTTCCACCTCCTTGCACAATAGCAGGAGTGATTATAACAAAATATTCTCTAACAGATGGGTGTTTACTTAAGCCTGAATACCCTCAGTGATGAGTATTCTACAGCTTTTGGGCTCTTTGTTCCCCTGTTTGAATTGTAGGGGTTCTCAAACCTTCATTTTCCTTTCTGTGGCTTCAACTCTTTTTTTTTTTTTTTTCAATTTTTGAATAGGGAGAATAATCAGTTGTTGCTCTCTTATAACCTCTCTTATGTAGCAGTATGCAGTTAAATCTTTATTCTGCAGAACTAAATGTGACCCAGTCCTTTTAACCTTTCTTAATTGTCTTGTTGTCTTCTCTGTGCCTTCAGTCATTATTTTCTCACCTTTTGGGGGATATTTGTCTGAAGTTGTGCTACCAAGCAAGGAGTCAGCACTCTGCATGGCAGTGCTGGAAGGCACAAGACCAACCCGAGCCCATCTGGGATCCTGTGAGAGTGGGACTTGAGCTCTTTTGCGGGTCTTTTTTGAGGCTGATGCTTGGTTAACACAACAAAGAAATGTGTTTAAATCAACCAGGCAAAAGTATTGCTCCTATTCACCATGTCACCACTTTGCAGCATTCCAAGGAGCTGGGACCTGGCTGCTCTGGCAACAGTTGCAAGAATAATATTAATAATGAAAGTATTTAACATTTAAAGTTCAAAGTATTTTACTATCATTTGCTAATTAACTCCAACGGAGACTTAACCAGGGCTGACTAGACTGAAGTAATTACTTTAATTGTATTAAATATATTCTATCTGAATGCAAAGGCATCGTGTCTTGTGCACTTGTGCAGCTGCATTCTTTGCTGTTGGATTTTAATCCCACATTTACTTTGTGAAGTTTTCCTGTTCCAGCTTAGCAGATAAAAGATCAGCACACAGAGGCTGAATTTCTGGCCCCGTCTGCCTGACTGCTCACTTCCTTTCATCTCTGAAGCACTTAGAGCAAGTGCTACTTTGCTTTCACATAAATAAACAATAATTCTTCCAAAAGAAATGGAGTACGTGTGTGTGTAAACATAGATCTGCATCTCTGAGTGCTCCATACCATTGCTGTTTCTTGTTCCACTGTTTTCCAGCTGGGCATTGTGTAGGAGACGAAAGTGTGGGTATGAAGAATATATGGATTAGTAAAATGTTTGGAATAAATGATAATTTTCAGAATGACATCACCTGTAGGTTATCAAGCAAGGGCAAATGGCCTCACTTTGCATCCTGATTCCACAAACCATCATCTGCAAAGAGCAACAGGACCTGTTATTGTGGAAGGGTAATTTTGTGACAGAAATTGGTGCATTTTTATCTCCCATGGAGTCATTTAGGTTGGAAAAGCCCTCTAACATCATCGAGTCCATCCATTACCCCAGCACTGCCAAGGCCACCACTAAAG